CAATTGGCCGACCTCGGAGGGATGGAAGGCTTGGTTGCTCCAGACTATGTACTTGTGGCAGTCTGAATCCATTTGGCCCATACAGTGGGTTGCATGGGTCAGCCAATGGTGTTTATGTCCTTACAGAGTAATTTGGTTCTAATCAACTTCCTGGAGCAATGGAAGGCCCGGACGACGCACGACCCAGGATTCGATCCCTGGGCTGCGCACGTGGTAAGCAGGGGTAAGCACGTGGTTGCCAGTACACAACTTCCGCCCAAGTGAAGGGTGAAAGGGAAATAAAGCAAATCATTCGTCGATAATTAATCTCTTTCTGGGATGTGCCATACACTTCAACCCCATTCATAAAAATGTAGAAGTTTGAATGCGATTTTGCCTATACAGTGGCTTGCGAGGGCCAGCCGATGGTGTTTGTGTCCTTCCAGATCAATCTGGTTCCACTCAACCTCCTGGAGCGATAGAAGGCTCGGTAGGCTCAGTAGTCGTACCGTCCAGTATTTGATTTCCGGACCGTGGACGTGTTAAGCAGCTTCAATTACCACTACACCGCCTTCGACTTGATGCAATTTGAATGCACGAAGAATCAGTTTTCTCTTACTCCCAACGAAGAAGTACTTAGTGAATCTAGTTTTTGGGTCAGCTAAATTTTTCGCCTAGTGGAAATTGGCGCTCTTCAAAGTTCAAGTTCATGGCTATGCCTCATGCTTGCACTAGGGACTGCTGGCTCAGGTTTTTATTTCTCATTGTACTTGTCTCCTGAAATATATTCGCAGACAAGAAACGAAGCAGGTCAGCTGGTGTAATTCATTAAAAAGCATTGCTGTTAGGTACAGAGTAGGCTAGTTCTTGGCTCATCGACCTTCAATGCTTCCCAGCAGTATGTAGACGTCTAGCTCCCTTTCATTGTTTACCAAATAAATATGAGTAGTTGTTGCTCGACTCACAACACTGAGGTGATCAATCACTCACTCTTCTTCCATTTGTTCATGTTTTCCAAACAGCTTACGCAAGTTTTCATCCGAGCTGGCTCTTATAAAAATTAACGCTTACATACCGTGCCAGAGCAAGACCTCCCGATCGGAACTGCATGACACTCAATGTCTGGAGTGCATGACGAATGATAACAGTTCGAATCAATTTCGGTGGATTCCTGGGGTGGAGTTGGAAAAGAGAAGTAACTTCAAGTCCAACGAAGCTATGGCACGAGCAACCGTTGGAGGGGTTTTAACAGTAGCCATAAGTACTACACAGCAGTGAATAACCCCATGAAATTTCATGATTATCTACGGTTTATGCGCGTTTTATTGGGGGAGGAGGGTCAGGGGACTTTTGGTTGAGTGGACTGCTCTTTGTACGAGTTTCGAAGGTAATACAAGGCAAATGTGGTGGCTGAACAAACTTTCGACCAGGCCGGGATTCGCACCGGACCTTGCCTGTCCGGGCAACTTGTGCTCCCAGTTCAGTTACGTAAGGGGTAAGGGGACTTGACTGAACGTGGGTGGAAATGCCCAAATTGTTGCCAGGCGGTTCAACCGGCGCTCGACGTGGCGTATAGGATAGTAGTGACGACGAGCACTCAGCTCCCATCTCCATTTATTGATGCTTTTCCTCTGAAGACTTGATCTCTTTGTTGATACTTCCGATTTGTTGCGTGTGCTTGTGTGGAAACAGCACCAGAGTTTACAGCAGTGAGCGTAACCATAGCCTTCACAAGTTTACATTTTTTGAATTTTGATCATTTTCAACAGCATTGGATACAATCTGTCGTTCACGCCATCTCTTGTTCCGTGTAGAACGTCACCATTCGTCGATTAACTGATCTGTCGTCGCGCACCATGATCCATTGGTCACGCTCTTCTTCATTCCGTTGAAACCTTGCTCAAATTCCCTTGCAATTTGCGGAAGATGAGTCCAATCTTTTATGCATTTTTACGTCTTCAAACAAGGACGCTTCTGAGCTTAAGGTTTGGGTGTAATTTTTACAATATTGCTCAACTCTTATGAGTTTAGCAGCATTTGTCATTTGAAGTCGGCCAGCGGTCAGGATGATCGATTTGAGTTATGAGCCGCTGAAGAGGACTCCTGTACAACTTGAGATCCGTGCTCGACTTTCATCAAAGATGTGATTAAACTTGCTCCAACTCCTTTTGATTCCATAATGAAGTCAGTATTCCTAAACTCGCTCTTTACTGCTGTTTATATTTGTTTACTCTTCCTGTAACTCTGCTTTCGGCTGGGCTGATCTTCGTTGTTTTCTCACACAACTGCTTACATGTTCTCTCTTCTACCTCCTATCAGTTCAAACCATTTCGTCATTTCACCTTGCGCTTCGCTATTGTGTACGAATATCTTGACATACTAGCCACACTATAAACTGAGAGACGTGTCTCGATGTTTGACTTCGAGCCGACGAGCGATGCAGAAGAAGATCAGTCTGGATCAGTTTCCAGCTTGCAGATGTCGGACGGGCCCGTGCCTCACACGCCGGGGGCCCTCCGCCCCGAGGAGATCATGACCGACGACGATTTTGTCAAAGCCATCGAAGCGATGGCCGAAGTAGGCCAAAGCGATTGCGACATCGGAGAATTATTAAGTAAGGCTGTTACTGATATTTTTTTTTCTATTGAATGGTTTGGTTTGCTCATCGACAATTTTTCAGAGGCTATGAACGAGAACCGAATCATATCATGGGAGGAGGCTGAGCGAATCTTGAACGACACCGGCACCGCTCCAGTGAAAAGCAGTTTGCCGGAGCAGACCCGACCCACGGAGCCGGACAACGACACCGACGTTGAGCAGTGCGTGCAACGACTTCTCGACAATGATCCCACCCTCAAAGAGGTCAACATGAACAATATGAAGGTGAGTGACAATTAACGAGGACGACTGAGTGTTACAATGTGTTTTTTTTTTGAAATCTCACAGAAGACGGACGAAATTTTCCAAAGAAAAGCCTAGAGTAGAAAAATTGACGGGAACGCATCCGATCCTAATTTTGAACCGAAGAAAAACTGCAAATTTGCAGATTTTTCCATTTCCATGTACAGCTATGTTTTTTTTAATATTCCTCTTAAAGGAAGGGATGAAGGTAAAAAGGGAGCACATGGGAAAAGTATATGTGCCATGTAGCTTGGCTGCCAAGGAAGCGAATGGCGCTTCCATGAAGGAAGGTGCAGCGGTTGCTGAGCAGTACTTGAGAAGCGAGGAAAGCGGCCCAAAAGCGCTCCACCCACCAGCTCAGTTAGTGATGGACGAGCTGTGTTGCCAGCAGCGGTACAACTGGAGCAACTCGTCTGCTGTCTCAGCCGCTGCCCGTCCATGAGCGAAAATCAACGGCCAACAAGAGGGCCCCTTTGCGTTTTCTTGACGGATTTCTCTGCTTTTTTCGCCATTGGCGTACCATTGAGCACCCCCACCTGTAATTATCTCTGGAACCTATTGCAATCGCTGCCTTTAATTCTTACTTCATCCCAGTAACAAGGAAATAGCAACTGCTTGACACCATCCAAACGAGGGGTAGGTATTGGATAGCCCGTAAAGATTAATCAAGCCCCATTCCTATCACATTCTTCAACGATGATTAAGGGAAGTGTGTGGTGTATTTCGAATCCAGTCTTCTCTTCGCCGCATACGTTTTTATTTTTTCCTGAAACAGTACCTATAGGGTAAACAGATGGCCTGGTCACGAATATGACATTCATTTTTGAACAGAGGCGATCTGGCGCCAGTTTGGTGCCGCAACTCACTTTTTTACTGCATTTCTTGCCAACTTTGACCGCTCACAACTTGCCTAGAAAGGTCGCGTAGCAGTTTTGGTCTACATATCTGTGAATAGTATTCAGTACTCTACCGATTTGCCTGGGTCTCCATCCAAAGTTCCATGGGAAGTTGGAAGCATTCTCCAGGTCAGTCACTGCGCCAATTAAAGTGGTTCGTTTTGGATGTCGATTAGATGGGGCCACATACGCTGACTGTGCCAGCACCGTCGCAACGAACGGCGACCTCCAGGTTTCAGTCGTCTTCGGTGGATGCAGCCCTTCCTTGCAGAACACAGCTTTACTTGAATGGAGACACGACACAGAAATCCTCATCTGTTAACAGGCTCGCATTCATGGTCGCACCCTGTGCAAGAAAAGGATAAAGGATAAAGCATTTGCCGTTGATCAATCCCTTTTGGGATGCGGCACGCATTCTACTTCCATTTGTACATTCGTAGTGGCGTTTGAATGCGATGTGGCCTATACAATGACTTGCGGGGGCCAGCCGATGTACAAGTCAGTGTTTTTATCCTCCCAGACAAGTGGTACCAATTAACCGACCCCGGAGGGATGGAAGGCTTGGTTGGCCCGGGCGACTCACGACCCAGGATTTGATCCCCGGACCGCTCGCGTGGTAAGCGTGCCACTTGCCACTACACCACTTCCGCCCAACTTTTGCAATCCAGCAAAATAAAATCCAAAAATGCACTCAAAGTGGGGTGCTTCTAGAGTGGTTGCGCATGAATGACGAAGCTGCACTGCATAAGGCGCAAAACGGTAACATGCGGACCATAAAGGGGATATTCCTGGTAATGAGTGAATAATGAGGATTAACAAATATCAATACTCAATGGCAAATACGTTCCACAGATTGCCTGTCCAGATACATCCATAGACTAATTCGTATCGACCTGCGCACGCTCTTGTTTCAGAAAGTGAACTTAATGTATCGCTGAATTAGCATATAGTGCTGTTGAGACATGATGATCATAACATGAGTGGAAGACCATCATTTCGTTACGAATATGTTAGCCAAGCAGCACTCTAAAAACCCTATTCGCTATAATTGTGGCACTGTGAGCAATCAGTAAACATTCGATCGACGTCGATTCGTCTCAAAAAAAACGACTTCGCTCGAGTCTTAAGCTCCGAACGCGACTCCAACAGTAGCTGCCGTAAGCTCGCTTCAAATTCACAACGATTCCAAATGCTAAAACAACAATCACACTGAAGCTGTTGAAAAAGTATTGCTGAAAGTTCCGATAGCGATCATTATCGGGTTCTTCTCACATTTTAGCCTAGTTTTCCACGCACCTTTTTCAGCGAACGCCAATTCCGCAAATTCGACGACTACTCGAGGCATTGGCTTATAATGAACATTGTGAACGACTATCACTAGCAAATATGGGTCTTTACGACAATGATGTTGCAGTGAGTGATTTATCAAGTTATGACATGAAAGGAGTAGAGTGATCTACTTGCAGTGCTCAGCTTACTGCATCGTCATTCCTAGTTTTGTTGATCCTTCGATGAAATAATATGGGTCGATTAAAGCACTTCCAGCATTTTTGGCCTTATCGTCTTTGTCGGAGCCTGGAAAGCTAAAAATAAGTGCGATGTGACCCCATTCCCCATCTCCCTCGCTCCATTCACCCATTTTCAAACTTCGAGAAAGTTCCATAGTTTCACTGTCTCCTAGACATCGTGTCTACACAGCCGTTCTTTCTACAGGCGGCTCCCAATGTTTCGTGAATTCATATCATCTTTCAGGAACCATCGGTCCTAGGTGACCTCATAAGTTTGGAAGATGCTAGGAGTAACTGCGACGCATAATCTTAGTTCCACCTACAAATTTCCCAAAAACTTGAATCTGGGGATGTTTTTGAAAAAGGCCCTATGGACAAATTGTGACACATATAAACGCGAATCTGTATATCAACACGGAAACCCGGCACTATTTACCCTTTACTGCCCCACTCCCCGAGAACTGAGCCGGGTTTTTATCGAAATTGGTCAATGACTGTGGATTTGGCTAGAAACTTGCCTTAAGGGGTAATTTGACCCGTAGAACACGAATATCATACCGCCTCCCCCCGCCCGCGCCCCCCCCCCCCGCCCCCCCCCCCCCCCCCCCCGCCCCCGGTTTAAGCGCGAAAACGCTTGGGTACCTCTGAGGACAACTTTCCAGCGAGTTTGGGGGTCCGAGATGTTCTGGCGCTTTTTGGCGCCGGCCCTTCTGGCGCGGGCGCCAAGCGTTTTCGCGCTAAACCGATATGATATTCGTGTTCTACGGGTCAAATTACCCCTTAAGGCAAGTTTCTAGCCAAATCCACAGTCATTGACCAATTTCGATAAAAACCCGGCTCAGTTCTCGGGGAGTGGGGCAGTAAAGGGTAAATAGTGCCGGGTTTCCGTGTTGATATACAGATTCGCGTTTATATGTGTCACAATTTGTCCATAGGGCCTTTTTCAAAAACATCCCCAGATTCAAGTTGATGGGAAATTTGTAGGTGGAACTAAGATTATGCGTCGCAGTGTATTCGTATAATGTATTGATTTCCAGATCCTCGAAAAGCCGAGAGATCGAAAAACGTTAGCCAAAAAAAGTTGATATATCAATGTTGACGTCACCCCAACCTCACTGAAGTATACACAATGTTAAATCACCGGTCGACTGACACTCCAAAAGTTTAATATGCTGTTCTGTTTAGGTGAAAATTGATATACAAAAGTGGTAGTTTATCGAGTGTAGGCGGATTCAGTCTACGCAATACACCGGTGGGCCGTAAATTACGTAACAAATCGCTAACAAACATATAATTTCCTTTGTACATAATAAATCATCTGGCTGAAGCAACCCCGAGAGAAATCACTATGGTATCACAACAGCACGATAGTTCACCTGTACACAAAGCAAATGTTGTGCAACATTGTTTTTGTAGAACTTTGCGAATTCATGACATTAAACGAGTGGCAACCTTATTCGCCCATTTTGAAGCGGGTTGTTTTCCGTGAAGTCTATGGAGCGATGGGCTTTCTTCTCCAAGTAACAAAAGTACTTAACAAATATCCATGAACGAGACAAATTAGGAAAGCTTGATCACCTACCTACACAACAGGCCATATGCGTTCCTGAGATGACTTCATTCAGGTATAAACGCAAACAGCGGCCAGTCCAAGAAGTGATGTTGTATTCTGTCTGGTGACCTTCCTATGAATACATTGTTGGGGTCCACGTGTGTCTTGCTGGCCGAATTGCTCTTCCATGAACACTTTATCCTGTTACCGTAATTTTTGCCCACCCTGTATATGCGTACCTGGAATGTCCTTTCTCAGGGACTCATGGACCGCCTTTCTAGAATTTTTTGGTTCCGTCGAACGAAGGGCCACACGTTTGAGGAGCGTTGTGAAGCTCCACCAGAGCAGGTATATGAACCCATGCATAGTGATCAGTGCTAAGCCTATTGCACATATGAAAAGCCTTTACAGCATGCGCTTTCCTCACGAGTCATCGATCCATAGTGGCTTGCTTCGTTCGAAGATTTTTTATGAGTGTTTCTTCTTAATCTTTACTGAAAGACTAGACGAAATGGTGCAACTTGAATACCTAAGTACAAATAATTTTGAATGTTACTATCAGCTGCTTTCTCCCTTCTCTTAATTGTTTCTGCAAGCTATCAATTGAACTTTATCATATATAAAATCCTTCACTATCATCCAATGCTAAGAAGCTGAGTTTTCTTGCACACGAACAGTTTCATTCACCCCAGGAATGAACTGACCTAAACCGACTTTAAATTCCAACAAAAGCAGCTAAGTGCCCGCCACCACCTGAAGTGACTGGAGGTGATTTAAAAACCAGGAAACTGTATTGAAAAAACTAATACGAAGCTTATACGATCACAGCTACTGGACACTTGAATTTTCTTTTCAGGTCTTATTGCCGGTAATTGAAATGAATACTGCCTTGAGGAAACTAAACCTGGAAACGAATTATTTGAGCGGTGACTTCTTCGCAAAACTTTTCCGAGCGGCGCTCGTTAATCAGACTCTTGAAGAAGTAAAGGCTGTGAATCAGGTCAGTTGCCTTCTTTATACATAGTTTGAGCGCTAATATTGTACAAAAACTCTTATTATAATCACAAAGATTTTGTTTCTCGAAAGTGTCGATATTTGCTGATGTTTCCTTTTTCACTTATATCATAGAGTTCAAGTTTTTGCAATTCGTTTTGTTTCTAGGGTGTTTCTTTCGCAACACTAGCTGAAAAGGAGATCATCGAATGTATTGTAGCAAACACTGGATTACTAAAGGTATGGTGCTTATTGAACTTACTTAGCTTCATTATTTTCAAAAAAGCTTCAAGGGTCACCCTCTTTGAGATATTCGCCTTTCTAAAGCTGCCATTCTTATAGCTGACTTGCTCCACACTTCTCACAGTCTTTCTGATCCTCCCCAATGCATTTGTGTGTAATGGATACGGATCGCGCGCGCAAAATCAATACCCACTCTTGGACACGCTCGCTGAGGAACGGGCTTAAGTGCAACCGACCTTACAGTTTCTGTCATTCCTCTATCATGTTGAGAACATCTCCAGATTTTCTGTTTAGATCTCGGTGAATCTCCGACTTCCCGAAGGACGACACAAAGTTGAAAATGCGACGTTGAGAAACGGCGAATACAGTGCGTTTTGTTCCTGCTTACGTTTTACTGAGCTTTCTTATAAACCTTGAAATATGCTTTGTTCAGAGCGAGTTCTGCGTCGCGAGGCGGCAAGGAAGGCCGCATGGGAGGCCGAGGAGCTGGCGAAGAATCCCGTGGTGAGGCCTTGAACTTTCACGTTCATCCTCCCTTCAATCGATATCTATCCCTTACACTCATTGACATACAGACGCGTACTCTCTTGAGCTTGCAATCCATGTTTTCTTGTTAAACAGCCCATACAGAACCGAGTGCCACTGATGAACTGCTGGACGTGCGTGGCCTTGCTGCGCGCCATTTTCAGAGGCAAGACTATTCGGGGTAGGAGTAGTTGATTCTGTGCTCATTCAACCCAATCCCTAGTCTAGGCGAAAGCGTAATCTGCTCATTTTATGGGACCATCGAATTGAAGAACAATCTCATTGATTGCAGTTCTCGGCTCAATCTCGCGAAAATTCTTCTTTCTGGTTCTTTTTTGATCGCTGACATGAACTGGCGAAGCCGCGCCTTTGCCTTAGGCCGATGTCAGACTTTGCGAATCGCGCGATTCGCTAGCGTCCGCGGTCGCGTTGCGGTACCAGCCAATTGAGTGATTCACTGGCCGCGACGCGACCGCAGACGCTAGCGAATCGCGCGATTCGCAAAGTCTGACATCGGCCTTAAGCCGGACAACGCGCAGCACCGTTGCACCAAGGTGGACCTCGTTTCTGAATGGGCTTTACGT